TTTTTCTTAATAATTTATTTTTATTTTATTTGCATTGGTGTTTTGCCTACATGCATGTCTGTGGGACGGTGTCAGATCTTGTAGTTACAGACAGTTGTGAGCTGTCATGTGGGTGCTGGGAATTGAACCCAGGTCCTCTGGAAGATCAGTCAGTGTTCTTAACCACTAAGCCATCTCCCCAGCCCCTAGAGTTTCTTTTTTAAACAGTGAAAAGCTTTGGAAATCGGTGGTAGTGATGGTTACACAACACTGAGAAAGTAGTTAATGGCGCTGAAATTCACACTTAACGTAATTAAAATGGCAAACTGGAGCTGGCAAGACGACCCGGTGGTTAAAGCTCCTGCTGCCAAGATCAATGACCCAAGTTTGATCCCTGGAACCCACGTGGTGGAGGGGACAATCAATTCCCACAAGTTGTCCTTTTGCCTTCATGCACATGCTGTGGTACACACATGCACACATGCGCGCGCGCACACACGGAAATAAACGCAAAAAGTTCTAAAGGATAAAAAATGGCAAATTATGTATGCTTACACGATGCATGCAAGACATGTAAATGAATTACAAAGCAAAGCAAAAGGCCAATGACACTCGGTGCTGAAGGTTCTCTCTCTCCTTTTACATGCATGGGCAGACACACAGGTTTTCTTTTTCTACTTTGATGATTTAACGATTTAGAAAATTTGGTTAACTGACACCATGCCCTTTACTAGAAGATAAAAGTGCCATTTTATGGACTGGCAAATTGCTCCATTTTTCCCTTTATCATTAATCAGAAATAGGAAAAATATAATTTCATTTCATAACCTTTATGGCAAGAACTCAGATTGCTCATTAGCTCCCCTGCCTTAAAGGCTCGCTGGAAGCAGTGGCAAGCCGGGACACGGGAGCTAAAGCAGCACTTCTCAGCCTGTGGGTCGCGCCCCCTTTTGTCAAATGACCCTTTTCCACGGGCTTGCCTAAGACCATGGAAACACACAGCTGTTTACATTATGATTAATTACAGTAGCAAATTACAGTTATGGAGCAGCAATGAAAATAATTTTATGAAGAGCTGTATTAAAGGGTCGCAGCTTTAGGAAGGCCGAGAACCACTGCTCTATAGAGATGGAGGGTGAGCATACCCTTGCACCGAGCTGCAAATGAGTGAGCGTCTCCTTACTTCATAGAAACCATACTGCTAACTTCATGCTTTAGAAACAAATATTTCCTACATTACCCTGGGGAAAAACTGGACAGTTCTGCACTTAACTGGTCTGCATTTAAGATTGATGGCGCATTTAAAGTCGTAGGAGCTTCTCTGCACTAAATACCTGAAGCTAGTAATGCATGCATTCGGTGATAATTCAGCTAGCCCATCCTGGTGAAGGTTCAATGCTCTAAGCTTAGGTGGTGGATGCTTTCCTCGGAGCACACAGCTCTTGGGTTTTCTCTCACTGTTCTGCATCCTCATTGTGACCTGGATGTTATCACTGTATTCCCAGTGACAGGCGAGCAGCTTATGATACCCAGGGGTGAAGCCGTATATTATTACTCCAAATATTTGGGAATTGTCTTTAGGTTGCACTGGCACCAGACTATCTCTTTTGGAAAGATGGTGCCATGGGCATAAGATTTCTGTTTGTACTGAAGCTCAACACACAGATACCCATAATCCAGCTGGGGAAAGCCTCAGCTCTCCAAGCCCGACTTTAGTAATGCGTCACAATATTGCATAAGTTTTCTTTTATGTTTTAAGAAAAAGATGATTTTGCAAATTCATAAATTTAAGACAGAAAAGTAAGGCTTCAGATACCCATCCAGTCAGTTATGCAATTGTTCAGACTAACCTCTCATAGAATTGTAAATATTTATTTCACTTTCTCTCTTTTGACATTTTAATTATTTTTTTAAATCCCCTATACTAAGATGTTTGTTTTAGTTTTTAGGAGATATATATATATATATATATATATACATACGTATATATGAATATATAACAAATGAATATATATGACATATATATTATAGAAAAGAGATCTGAACAACTCACCCCAGAATAGAGGTAAAGAGGCAAGGCCCCAACTAGGCCGAGGATGGTACTTCTGCTCCCTTTTCATGGAGTCTTTACAGTTTCAGGGGGAGGCAATTAAGTCTGTGCCCCAGGATGATTATTTTTGTCAACAAGACACAAACCCTAGACTCTCCTGGGAAGAAAGTCTCAGTGAAGAATTGTATACATTGGGTTGACCTGTGGACTTGTCTGTGAGGGACTGCATGTTAACTGTGTGAGAAAACTCAGCAGCTCCCTGTGGACGCCCCATTCTCTAGGCAGGGGTTCCTGAGCTATGTAAGAACAGAGGAGTCAAGCTTAGGACTAGCAAGCAAGCGAGACACACTCATCCATTTCTCTCTGCTCTTGACAGTAGATGTGATGTGATGAGATGCTTGAAGTGGCTGCTGCCTGGACTTTGCCCAGTGATGAACTATTGCCTGAAATTGTGAGACTCTTTTTCCCAATTGCTTCTTTGTCAGGGCAATTAACCACAGCAGCAGAAACAAAACAAGAACAGGCCCCACTCGTCTGTATTGACCCTATAGCCAGGTGACCCTCACCCTTGGCAAGGAGTTCACAGTCCTGGCATTCACAGAAGCCATTGGCTTGGCTCCTTGGGGGCACTAGAGATACCCTAAAAGCTTATTAATAAGGACTATATTCATTAGCATTTCACATATCCTCCCTTGAATACTGTCTGATGTGTGCACTGTCACTGAAGGGGAAGTTTATCTTTAATTATCAGCTGAAAAAATAACTCCCTCTGCAAATTAACTGTAAACATGAGATAAGGTTTTTGCCTTAAGAAAACACGGTCTGTTTCAGAATATTAAACCTTTCAGAAAATCAGGTTTTGTCGAGGATATAGATCTGATGATTGATTGCAATCCATCCTGTCTACTTTGCAAGCTAGAATTCCATTATTCAATAACTAGATGCTTCGGTTTCGATTAGTAAGTGTTTCTGAGAGTTGTGACATTTTTATAAATTCTATAATTTATACCTTTCATTGAATCAGATAAGCCTAACCTAATTATTCCAAATAAGTAAGATTTTATTATATGCTTTAAAGCGGGAGTCTATTGTCCTGTGCACACAGTATCTTGCCTCTTAATTTGCCAAAGAGTAACTGCATGCTATAGTTAGGGTCCTGATCACTGTAGAAATAAGAAGAGCTACAGAACAGCATGGCGGAGGCTGCGGCTGCTGTGCTAGGCCTTGCTCACTGCTCCTCTGTTCAGAAGCACCATGCAGATCAGGACCATTTTTCAGTTACTCGGGGGACTTGGTGTTTATCCAAATTCACAAGAAGAGGGTGATGTAAAAGCCAGCACACCAATTTATTAATTTACAGTGGGACATGGCTCGGGTACAGGGAGCAGGGCAGTGTGCTCTCACGTAAGGTACAGCCTCCACGGGGGCCAGGGCCACCCAGGAGACTAAATTAAACATCACAAGGTTGCTTGGATAGCAAAGAATTAAAGCAAAGAGAGCCCTGTTTCCTCAAGAGAAAGCTCCGTGAGGTTCAAACCGCACGAGGCGCACTGGAGTGAAGCCTATTTGATAGACCAGGCTTACTTCAAGTATTTTCTGTTTGCCATGCCGTCCCTTAGTTCCTTTAACACGCGAGACACTCACAGCAGGAAAGTCTGCTAATAACCGTGAGTTTACTGGTGCTGCGCTGACCTCAGCCCGAAATGCAAGGACTAAGCGACCTAAGAAGAGTGCTCAGAACCGCACACAGTGCAGTAAGCTGGAGAGTCTGAACTCCGTCACAGTCTGTCAGAGCGCCACCAGGCAAACAGGATCCTAGGGGGAACCACCACGCTGCAAATACGTCTGTGTGACTGCAGTTCTGCCCCGGAGGGACCTTTAGGAAAGATCCCTGTTGTGGTAGCGGTACAGACAGTTTGCCATCTTCCCCCACGTAGTGAGTACTATTCAATGCGTTAAGTCACTGACATTGCTGTGGCATCCTCACTGTTCATCTCCAGAGCTCATTCCATCTTCTGCAATCTTAAACTCTACCCACCCAACAACAATGCTCCATCCTCCACTTGGCTCTGATCTCCATTTCTGTTTTCTGACTGTGAATTTGACTGCTCTAAATACCTCATAGAAGACAACCGTATGGTATCTGTTCCTCTCTGATCCTTTAATTCACCACACTGTCTTCAAGGTTCATGTAATAGCGTGTGTCAAAATTTCCTTCCCTTTTAAAGAGGAAATAACATCAATGACTGTATACAACGCCTCCTTCATCCACTCAGCCATCCCTGGACTCCGGGGGCGTCAGCTGTTGGCACTGCTATGAATGGGGCGAACATTTCAAATACATCTCGGAATAGTCATGTCCCCAAATTCTAGGCTCAGAATGCCCAGATTCCAAGTCAAGGCTCTCACACATCTCTCGGCATTTGCTGCTCAGAGTCCACAAGGCAGGAGGGAAGTGTGGTTTCTATTCTTCAGGAGGAGAAGCTGAAGCCCGGAACAGCTAGGCAGCTTAGCCAAGGGAGCAGTAGAGCTAGCCACCTGCCCCCCCATCACATGTTCTGGCCAGTGAGTACCCACTGTTCTCTGCAGTGCAACTTTTTCAGGACTGGCAGTCCAAAGAAAAAGAGGAAGAAAACTCTCACACTAAAATTCTTAGACTAAATAGATACTTGATAGGTCCGATACTCTAGTTCCATAAGGGAATAGACTTTTGGAAGAACTTTTGAGTTCTGAGCATGAGACCAACTCTTCTCTATTGTCCACATCCAAGGCACTGCCTAGTGTCTCCCTGGGGGTGGGGGAGTGTCCCACTACAGGCATAGAGACATTCAGAGTTAAACACCCAAAGGGCTGATTCCTACACCCCAGAAAAAATGCAGGAAGTAAATAGTGCGAACCAGCTTTAGCCGAGCTAATGAATACCCAAGCAACAACAGGGAATAAACTTGATACAGAGGAGACTGGCTGGTACCTGCAGTTGGAGCCAAACCCTTAGTGCCATCCTCGGTCAATCCCAGGTATTCTCGAATGAGCTCACTTAGCTTTTTGTAGGCAATGTCCAGATCGTCTACAACAAACAAGAGAACATCTTACTATACCAGGATCATGTCCAAACACAGTCAGCGTTCAATGGCGAGCGAACTAGTTTGCTAACTGCACCCCATTTTATTACTGCTGTGGCAGGTACCATTCTAGATGAGCCTAGTGACACTTCCCTCTCCTGTAGTCTCCACTCCGCACGTGTGGGTAGAACCCACGGAGATGAAGAGGGTTCATGCCCGTGATTACATTACGTCATATATAAAAGGGATGTGCAGGTATAATTAAGGTTACTAATGGCACAAGTGTTGTAGGCTACCGTGAAGGGGACTTCCCTCAAATCATAGCCACAGAAGGATAGATTTGTCTAGTCAGTGGCAGATCAGAAGTCAGAGGCTCAAAGCACAGAGAGGATTCAATGCGCTCTTTGTGGTAGAAGAGGGCCAGAAGTGTATAGACAATGCCAAAGAGAATCCTCAGGGACTATGCATAGCCTTCAAGAGGCAGCCAGCCAAGAAGTGGGAGCTCAGGCCCACACCCCAAGGAAAAGCATTCTGCCAATACAAAGAAAAACACATAGGCATCCTCCTGAATATTAACCTTCATCAGGCGATGAAAGGAGACAGAGACAGAGACCCACATGGGAGCACCGGACAGAAATCTCAAGGTCCAAATCAGGAGCAGAAGGAGAGGGAGCATGAGCAAGGAACTCAGGACCGCGAGGGGTGCACCCACACACTGAGACAATGGGGATGTTCTATTGTGAACTCACCAAGGCCAGCTGGCCTGGGTCTGAAAAAACCTGGGATAAATCCGGACTAGCTGAACAGAGTGGACAATGAGGAATACTGAGAACTCAAGAACAATGGCAGTGGGTTTTTGATCCTACTGCATGTACTGGCTTTGGGGGAGCCTAGGCAGTTTGGATGCTCACCTTACTAAACCTGGATAGAGGTGGGCGGTCCTTGGACTTCCCACAGATCAGGGAACCCTGATTGCTCTTCGAGCAGATGAGGGAGGGGGACTTGATCGGGGGAGGGGGAGGGAAATGGGAGGCGGTGGCGGGGAGGAGGCAGAAATCCTTAATAAATAAATAAATTTAAAAAAGAAAGAAGGGACCCGGGTGCTAAGATTGCCCCCAGAGCCTTCAGACAAGACCTCAACTCAGCTGATTCCTTAATCTCAGCCTCGAGGCACTGACTGCATGCCCTGCTATGCTGTCCTAACCTGCTGAGCAGGCACTGCGTTAAGCATTCACTGTGAGTATCTGCATGCAGCTGTATAAAACCAATATGGATATGCAACACAGTAACAAATTCAGAGGTTTGAAAATATCATTATGTGAACCATATAAAATTGTCATTTGCGTAGTAGTTGAATACCAGCAATATCATATGGCTCAATTTAATGTCCCCCTTTCTATCCAATATCTCACCAAAAGGTGGTTAGAAATTTATTTATTTTATTTGTTTGTTTGAGACAGAGTCTTACTGTGCAGTCTTGGCCAGCCTGGAACTCTATGTAGACCAGGCTGGCTCTGAACTCATGGAGATCTGCCTGCCTGCACCACCTGAGTGTTGAGACTATAAGGCATGTACCATAACAGCCCCCTTTTTTAATTATTGCATTTCTTTATTAGTTGGAGGGGGCTGCATGTAGCAGTCAGAGGACAAGTCACAGAAGTCAGTTTTCACTGGGCGGTGGTGGTGCACGCCTTTAATCCCAGCACGCCCCGTGGGAGGCAGAAGCAGGCGGGTCTCTGAGTTCAAGGCCAGCATGGTCTGCAGAGTGAGTTCCAGGACAGCCAGGGCTACGTGGAGAAACCCTGTCTCAAACACGCTGCCCCTAAAAGCCAGTTCTCTCCTTCCACCACACAAGTCTGAGGGAGTGAACTGGTCTGGCAGCAGGTGGTGTGACCTGCAGAGCCATCTCACGGCTCCTAGGTATCTTCTCATCTATACACAGCATTTACCATCCCTTCATAGATGTATGAGACCGTATAATTAAAAACAGAAAGTTCCATATTTCAATAATTTCTCTATCTTTCTCTCTTTGGCTTCTGTTCCAAATCTAGTAGCCTTTTTTATTTAATAATTTTTGTTTTGTTTTGTTTTGACCTGCTTTGCCTCCCAAGTGCTGGGAGTAAAGGCGTGCACCACCACTATCTGGCTTATATAAAATTTGAATCTACATAATTGCACACACTTATGAAACACAACACATATATACATGTGGGTAATTATCATATCCTTTACCTCAAACACTCATTATTTCTCTGTGGTGATAAAATTGGAAAATATCTGGGCTAAAAAAATAGCATGCTTTATTCTGAGGTAGTTTTTGAACATGTTTTACTCAGATACTTTCAAATTTCCAATATTTTCAGTAGTTGTATTTCTTTGTATAAACAGATTATGATAAAAATTATGTGAGCTTCATATGCCTTTAGAAGCTTAAACATATATTTTAAATGAGATATTATCCATCTTTGTTATCGCAGTGTCCCCAGGGGGAGGAATCTATGTGGGCCCATTTTATACCAACTTTATTAGTCACAACTTTATGGACCAACACGATTCAACCTTCTGATGGAAACTGTGGGAGATGAGAGCTCACAGGTTCTTACCCCCTTCTGCAGCTTTTTGCAGCTTCTAATTACAATAAATATCTATGTTTCCTAAGACTTTTCTTTCCAGGGCATAAATTAAAAGTGCAGTGATTATATACTTCCAACAAGAAAGCATGTTAAAAAAATAAATAAAAATCTGCTGGGCATTACTGACCTGCATTAATCACTGCATCGAAATACCCTGGAAATTTCTGATTAATTTTAATGTAAAGGTCCACCCTGGAGACAGCAAAGTCAATTTCTGCTCGACTAAACAATCCCTTTCTCCGTAAGTATCCTTCGTATTTTTCCTTGTCCATGGGCACCACCAAGATATAGCGAGGCTCGAAATAGGAATATTTCAAACTTCTTACGCCCTGGGAAAGAAGAGAAAAGGCGAGTGAGAAGCAGCTCCCCTCTGGGGCCATCACTGCGGAAAGTGACAGTCAGAGGGCGCACACAGAATCACACCGAAGAACACATTTTGTCTGTAGGATCAGCTGCTATTTTCCTATCAATATTCCAGGGTTGGATTACTTTCCTTTCTTCATCAAATATTAAATTATGGTAGGAACCATTACAACTCATTCCACCTGGTTGTCCTCAAGTTAATTGTTCTAGTGAATACGGCTGTTAGAAAAGAAAATTGCCGGGCATAAAATGGGGATATTCATGGCAGTACTGCCACGTTATTATCAAAGAGTAATTCAATTCCATATTTCAATAGGTATCTTGAAGCAATAGAAGATAGAGATCTTCCCAGGGATAAAGGCTCCCCTGGTATTCCTCTGCCATCCATCACTTTGATACCATTCTTGTTTCTAAGTCAGCAACTCAAAAAGGCATACATACATATGTACATACACACATACATACATACATACACATGAGAGAGAGAGAGAGAGAGAGAGAGAGAGAGGGGGAGGGAGGAAGGGAGGGGGAGAGAGAGAGAGAGAGAGAGAGAGAGAGAGAGAGAGAGAGAGAGCTTTAGCACCACGATCAGACTACTGTGGTCACGAACACAGTCCTTGAGCTTGGGGGGAGTTGGGGAAGGAGTTGGCAAACATGTCTTCTTTGTAGCAGTTAGACCTTGCTACCACTGTACTTGGCTGAGTTCAGAGACTCTCCTGATACCACCATAGCTACTGCTGCTGCTGCTAGAACCACCGAGGCTACCTTGCTTTCATGGTTTGTCAAAGTATTAGCCTCCCTTATCTAGGGCCAGAGCTTCTACCTCCAACACTTCCTCCCATTGTAGATGCAAAATTCAAAGACTGGTTGGAATAACCGCCAACACCATTGTGGTTCCACGTCTTCTAGCCTCTTTCTGGAGGGTAGAGACCAGAGTCAGCACAGCCTGCTACCAGATGGCCACAGGGTGACGTGGTATGGCCTGCAAACTGGGAGCTCTGGGCTGTGACTTCAGCTTCGTAGATCCTAAGGATTCTGCACACATCCCTCAAACTCTCTGGGCAGAAGTTTCCTCATTGGGTGACGTGGAAGAGTTGTTCCAAGTGGACTATGAAGTCCCTTCCATCTCAATTCTAGCATCATCGGTTTAACTCAAGTTCAAAATTTCTGCTTTAACGATTCAGTGGGAAGAAATACAGGCTGCTTTTAAAACAGTGTCTGAAAAAGTCGGTGACAAGGGCAGTCAGGGAAAAAAATACCTCAGCTGGGGAGAAGCAGGGAAACAAAACAGTTTATAGATTTGACCTCCTGGATATGAGGAGTGGTAAGCTCTCAGGAGGGAAAGAAAGGGAAGCAGGAGCTGTCACTCAGGAAACTGTTGCACTGGAAAAAGGTGGACACAATAAGACGGAGCGCTGCTTCGCTCAAACATGCATTAGTTTTTGTTTCCTCTGTCCAAGGCAAATATTTTTTAGAACTGATTTTTTTTTTAAAGAGTAAAGAAGACTTTTCTTAAAGGTACAGAACCAGTCAACTGCAAAAAGAATGGATAATGATACAGGAAGTTAAAGAGCTGACACAAGTATGCTCAGCTTCAATAAAGGTGGGGAACAGTTAACCAATACTAGACGCCAAAAGGGGCCACTGTCTCCTCCTCTGGCATTACAAAGGAAGACGAAGCTAACGTTCAGTCAACAGGAAAGAACCGCCTTGTGAAGTTTTGTTTTATGTTTGTTTTAATTAATTTATTTTGTCTGATCATAAGATTTATATTGCTTAGTAAAAGTATTTTTTTTTTTTAAAAAAATCAGCCATCACTGAAGACCTGATTTGTTTGGCTAAGTTACATGTTCATTCTTCAGACAAGAGGATAGGAAATTCATGGGTTCAGAATTTTGAAAAAATGTCTATACATTCTAATTTGAGAAGGGGGACAAAAATCTGAAACCCGCAAGTCGAGCTTGCAGAAGTATAAAGACATTGCATCCAGTGAACAACCAGTGCCAAATGACAGCACCGCCTGCCCACCCTGCCCCTGTGAAGAATGAAGGAACAGAGTGACCACTCAGGCTGACACAGTCCCGAGTGGAGAGGAGCCACCCACGCCTGTACCCACTCCATATAAATGAAGGCACGCTGCAACAGCAGAGGGATGCACTAGTGAGGAAGAGACAGTAAGTCTTGAATGAAGCTATGACCTAAATGTCACTGGACTTTCATAGATCTTCCCTCCCCACTGACGATAAACTTAACACTTCATGCCTCTGTAGCATCTCTCTTGTGCCCAGCAGTATGTTATCCAGATATTGTAGCCCCAACTTGACATGCCACACACACACACACACACACACACACACACACACACACACACACGAGCACAGGTACTAACAGCTCAATGAAGAATACTTACTTCTAGTTCCATATGAATGCAGCTTGCTAGTCCATCTCTTGCAATACCTTCTACAGTGTCCCTATTTAATCCATAACTGTGGTTACCGTAATTAAATGTTAGGATAAATTTCCCCTGGAATTAGAAAAATACAAAGATTTCCACATAGCAGGTGCTGTAATGCAATGATAAAATCACTTGATGTCTTAACTTTCACCTAATTCCATACAAATTAAAGTGTTAGGAAGTACAGAACGTCACAACGGTAACAGGTGGTGGGACACCACCAAACTCTGATGGGGGCTACTCAGAATTCTTCCTGATGAAAATAAGGTTTATTGAAATAATCTATTGACAAAATGTCTGAGGAAAGTTATGAGTGGAAGCTTCTGGTAAGACAGACCATGATAATTGCTTACCTATTTCCTGCCAAATCCACACCACAAACCTTCACTGTCAAGGGAGTAAAACTGATGGCTTGCCCTGTCCCTTGCGGCTATGCCAGCATCCCAGGCTTCTCGAAAAGGACCCCGATCCTAAACTCCTTGCATTTCAAGATAAGCCACGAGGAACAGGTAATCCTGAAGGCTGTGGGCATCCTAAAAGCTTGGAAAAGTAGACCCAGCCTGGTTTTCCTCCTAAAGACGACTTTTGGTTGAAACTGCCCCAAATGTTAGTCAACAGAATGGCTGTGCCCTATAGTCCCTTATCTCTAAATACCACCCTCTCTGTGTATTCCGGAGCCCCATTTCCTGTGACAGCTGCATTCCCTTGCAAAAGGAAAAGAGAAGAAAATGCAGGTAAAAATATACCCTTCAAATTGTGACGTTTCCTTTGACTATTTATTAAATCATTAGGCCTAATCAAAACTGGAGAGCTGGTGAGAAGAGAGAATAAGAGCAGAGAGAATAAGAATGTGTGACCTTGGTAAGTGTGCCTTCTGAAACGCACGGCTTTAAAATAAATAACGTTCGGGGATGCATCCAACCCTGTTAAATGGCTGGTGCCTCATTAAAAATAGCAAGCAGTCAGGAGTTAATACTGTCGTCATTAACAGCAACAGCAGCAGCAGCAGCAGCAGCGGAGCTTCTTGCTATCCTCCTGGCTCCAGATGTTCTGGAGATATGTATAGACGACAGCCTGGCTGTGTGCCAGAGAGGGTTAGGCAGGAGACGCAGGGTGCCTTTTGAGGCTGGGTGGGTTTCTGGGAACTATGTGTGCTGGGGTAATGAGGAAAACCATTATAATCAAAGTTAAAAACCCAACAACATATGTCTTCAGTCTTTTACTCTTTCGATGCCACAGTCTCTTTCTTCTTTGGAAACAAATGTTCTGATCCTTTCCCATACGTATGCGTGCATTTAAATATGTACACCTATGAATGGAGACAACGTGGCTATGGCTTATCTTTCATGTGTTTGCTTATTTACCACGAGTGATGGGTAAGTTCGTGGGTCAACTTGGAGAATATTTAGGGGTGAGATTAACAATGACACTGGTGAACTTGGAAGAAGCAGACTGCCCTGAAGTGTGGGTGGACTGCACCCAGTCCCTCTAAGGTTTGTACAGAACAGAAAGGTAAGTAAGCACCTTCACTGCTGGACCTTCTAAGTCTCCATGCTGCCCCCACACACAGAAAGTTCTGGCTTGTCAATATCCACATCCATGTGATGATACATCTACCAGACCAATCTGCATGTGTGTGTATACTTATGAGTGTATGTGTGTATATATACATATATATGTTGTGTGTATACGTGTGTACATGTGTGTGCGTGTATATATGTATGTGTATATACATATATGTGTGTGTATAAGTGTATGTGTATATATACATACATAAACATATACACATAGACATACATATATACACATACACAGAGAGACTATTTACTGGTTCTGTTTCTCTGGAGAATTCTTAGTATTCTATTGTGAGCCCTGTTTGTATGTGTATGCATATCTGAATAATTTTTCAGATATATGTTTGTTTACTTCCTCTACAGGCCTCATAAACACTTTCTGGAAGCATGCATGGTTGGAAGAGACCTTGTATTGTGCATATAATATAAAAGATATCCCATTCAACTGATTTGTTAAGCATTGAGATGATGTAGCTCCCCCAGCTCTGGCTGGTCACACTCCCTTCATTTCCTAGTGCGTGTGGGTTTCCTAGTTAAGTAGCAATGGCCACACAACCAAAGTCTCCAGTGGTTCCATTTCCACAGGAGAGGGAGTGCTTCTGTAGGGAAATGACTAAGCATGGTTCCTCACGAAAGGGAGAATGTAGCTATCTGTGGATGGGTAGGAGAATGGTCTGTGGGTTGGAGGAAGTGTTGGCTGAAAAGACGCGTGAACACGGGAGAGGGTGGAGGTTCGTATGCTTTATCCAGCTAGCAGCTAGGTGTGGCTGCTCACAGTCAGTGTGTGGAGTGCCCAGGCCAGAGTGTCTATCACAAGAGCCTGGCTGTCTGGGCGGGTGGTGTGCGGAGGGGTGTTCCATGTGCAGGAGGCCGACAGTGTGGGCATGATCAGAAGGCTGACAATGTTTCCTGAATCTATGACTCTCTAGACTCAGCTCTCTTCATGTAACAGGGCCACACTCTAAAGAAAAGGAGATTGGAGGTGAAATTCAAGTTGATGGAAATTACATCAAAGTAATACATGTTGGCAGAAAGAGGAAAAATGAGTTCTTCTCAAATCCATGGGGATTTCTGTGGTGTATTAAACTGTAAGGCTAACTAGAGCCTAGAAGTGCGGTGATTTCGCAGGTTGGGGACTGAACCAGACTAACTTCACTACAGACCCAATAAGCTATGAACACCAGAGAGCAGGGGGTGCATCTGGAGAACAGAAAGACCAAACTCCCGGAGAAAATGCCCCACTAGAGCAGAAACTAACATTCATGGTGAGAGGGAGAGGGCTTCCATCCTAAGGAGGAAATACTTCTCAGTACTGTGAAGGCAAATCTCAAATCTCTTTTAAAGGCGTTTAGAAATATAAAGTTTCAGGCCAGGCGGTGGTAGCGCATGCCTTTAATCCCAGCACTCGGGAAGCAGAGACAGGTGGATCTCTGTGAGTTCGAGGTCAGCCTGGTCTAAAAGAGCTAGTTCCAGGACTGGCTCCAAAGCAACACAGAGAAACCCTGCCTCAAAAAAAAAAAAAAAAAAAAAAGTAAAGAGAAAAAAATAAAGAAATATGAAGTTTCAGAAAACTCTTAATAAACCAAGACAGTTCTATGAGAAGGCATCTGATGTCCAAGACATTCTTTTGACAGAGCTGCAGGGAGAGCAGCCTCGGGAGTACAGAACTTGTTCACTTGCATTTCTGTGAGGACAAGATGAGCCCTGAGAACACACACCACAGTAGAGTTGGTTGTTCAAAACTCAGCTAATGTAATTGTACTGCCCAAGCCTAGATGCCCCCTGGCAATGTACACACTGGAGGCTTAGCCAGATCTGTTCTTTTAGGGTACAGACAGACAGAGAAGGGAGGAAGAAGAGAAAAGAGGGTGAGGAGAGGTAGCTGACCGCTTGTGGCACAAAGAAAGACTGGTCTTCAGTAAGCTTCGTAAGAGTATGAAGCGGTGCATGCTTCACTTGGTGACAGAAGGAAGGACACCGTGGTGGAAGCAAAAGTAAGGTTCGTGTGAAGAAAAAGCAAGAGGCACAGAGTTGCTAGGAGTTTGGGGCCCAGAGATGCCCTTTCAGGGTAATGCAGTCGGGGCGGGTCAGTGCTGCATTCACGTATACTTACAACCGGTGAAACACATTCTCTGTGTGGGTTCCCTTCCGTGTAAAAGGAAAGAAGAAATGTTGTTTAAGAAAATGCATGTAAAGCCAAGGGGATTTGCACCACCCTCCAGATGAGCCCAACAGGGTGTAGAAAACTTTCAAATTGAACCAGATTTCCAAAGTGCACAGCATTTCATCTTTTTAAATCACGGCCTCCTCGTATTTCTGACAAAGAACATGTATCTCTTCTCTGATAAAAAGAAAATAGCAGGGAGCAGCCTTACCATGTTGAGCATTTCATCAAAAACTTCTTGAGAGATGAAGTGATAATCAACTCGATCCCCTTCACCAAAGTACGGCGGTCGTGTGGTGTGGCAGGCCCTGAAGTCACAGAAACAGAGCGCCAGCCATTCTTAGGGACTTGAAAGTCACAGTGGAAACGCTTTCATCGTGAAGGGTGTTTAAGAAATGAAACTGACCCACAGATCATAAATCATAAAGTAATGTAATTGTGAAAACAGTGTCTTAGAAGTAAGTGTTAGGCTGTAGTTAATCACAAGCATCTATGTGGATTATACAAGTTTTGGCTCATCAATATCCAATTTTTACTTACCTAGTTATCGCCTTTTGGAACGCCCCCTCTGCTGCCACATGAGAACAGTTTAAGAAGTATCACAGTATTGATTGTTCACCCAGCTGCTTCCACATTCTCTTGATGCATGAGCATCTCCTGCCGGCTCCTCTCCTCTCTCTCCACAAGGCCAGTTGGTTGTCAGGACTAGGTTTAAGTGTCAACCTCCCCATGTCCTCTGGTATAGTATGCAGGTCTTCGTACCCCCACAGCCTCAGCCAACACCCCTGCATTCCCAACTGCTTGTTCAGGACCCATCTCCCCCTCTGCATGAGGGCAGAAACATCTCATTCTCCCTGGACTATGGCTTTGTACTAGAATTAGACATGAGCCTCTATGGGAACACACAGTTCAAGTAGTGAATGAATTCTTAACCAGAGAGGCCTTGTCTATCCACTGTCTTGAGATAGCATCCCTAAGCACACATATATACATACATACATACATACATACACATGCACATATACACATAGATATACATACACACATACATATACATACATGTATATATACACAAATACAAACACACATACATACACATACACACACACACATACGCACCCTTACACTGAAACTTACTTTCATAGTTCTTCCTGTCTTCCCAGCACATTATGCAGCTGGAATACCTTGGTCCCCTACTTTGTCACTGCATTACCAACACCTAGCGCAAAGCAGGCATTCACTGAATTGATTGTGACATCAAGGGAAAGTAAAAAGTGTAAAGTGGTAACAGCCCACCATTATAAAGCTGACAACCAATGTGACCTGTCCAAGGTCACCCTGCAGGATGGTGCTGGCTCCAGAAAACCAAAACACAAAGTTCTCAATGCCCCAGACTCTTGATCTCATATCTTTCTGTTGTGGGATATTATTTTAACTGTGTAAAGACGTGTTCCATTTCTTTATGCTGCAGAATATTCCTTTAACCATGTAGAGATGTGTTACATCTGTTTCACCTTCCCTGCAGAAGGCACCCGATTCTAACAAAAAGCTGAAAGCTAATGAGAAAGAATAACTGACGCTCACAGGCAGAGAGAATAAACAGGAGAAGAACGAAAGAAGAAGAGAGAGGAAGATGCCAGGGGCAAGCCACAGACTAAGAAGGAAAGACAGACATATAGAATAAAGAAAGGGAAAAAAACCCAGAGGCAAAAATGTAAAAAAAAAGTTAATTTAAGTTAGAAAAGCTGGCTAGAAAAAAGCTAAACGAAGGCCAGCCATTTGTAACTAAGAATAAGTCTCCATGTCTTTATTTGGGAGCTGGGTAGAGGCCCCCAAAAGAGAAAAAAAACCAATGACAGCCTTCTGATTTCCCAGTTTTAAGTTCTGGTAATAAAAGTGAATTTTAGATTATCTAATAGTGCTAAAATAGGAAATGAGAATTGACAGATACTTGACATGCTAAATCATTTACCAAAAAGAAAAAAAACCACTGAGTAGATATTATTTCTTATTTTACAGATGACAAGCTGAACACGGTGATTTACGTGGAACTAAGCAGACATGCCAGGATGACTCTAGCCAACTTCTGTAACAACACACCAGTTAAGAGAGTCAGGTGGAGCCTCCAAAACCTAGACATTACGAAGTCAAAAACGCAATTTAAAATTCATAGGATGGCTCTCTTTATATTATAATCAAGAATTAACCGTAGCAGGAAAATTTCAGGTCTCAATGTTACATTTACACTGTAGACGCCAGAAAGAGAGAACAGTCAAAACATGGTGACATTTGTTTTGTTGTTGGAACACACTGGCATTTCTCCCCGTGCCTGGGCAGAGCCCTGGGACCCTCTGTCTATTGGTGTCCCTGACAGAGGAGATAAAGCTGTGGCCTGGCATCCCTGGCTGGACACTCTCAGCAATGTCTTTACCCGTTACACTGAATTTACATTTCCCAACAAAGGGATTGAGTGGCGGGAGTTGGGAAGAATTTCTGAAGAGACAAAGAAGCAATTTGAAGCAACTGGGCAGGTAAACAAAGAGATGGCTCCATTTGTGTGGAGAAAGGGGAAGACTGGTGACCGCTGTGGGACCTTCTACTACGAAGGACCCAAGATGACCTGTGGGCTTTTCAATCTGTCATCCAGTTTTACACACAGAAACCTCCACTGTGTGTGCAGCCTGATTATGAATGTGCAGCAAAGGAAATACTTCACGGTAAAAGCAATGTTCCCAAGTTCGCTTAGGGAAAACCAGCACCAAGTTTAAGGGAAATGGGCTTCTTCGGCCCCTCCTCTTCAGCATCGACTCCCTCCTTTGCATATTTCTGTGATTCTATTACTTGCTAATTAATTTACTGGTGAAACCATGATACGTGATTTTATCACAACTTATAATGGGAGCCACACTCCTTGTTAGTTTCTCTTAACCACAAAAAGACAAAGTTAGGGACTCCGTGTCTGGTGATAAAGGACTAGGGGGGCTTTGGCATTCCAGAGAGAACTCTCAACGAAGCTCCCAACACACCACACCTGTGCAAAGGTCACCGTCAGGAAGGAAAGGAATTTGGATGGCCATTCCTATTCATGGCATTCCAAAGCATCTAGGACAAGGTGACAGGAAGAAAAGATGTCCAAGAACCAAGAGTGGGCAGGTGGTTGAGTGTGACTCAGAGACAGATTTAGAAGCTCAGTTCTCGACTGGAGTGCCTCAGGAAACGGTGAGCAGGACAGCTAGTCCTATGCTGATGTTCAGGCAGAGCTTGGCCGTGCACCCACGATTCACGCGTGTGATCATATGACACGTGGTTAGGGTTTCTCTCAATGTGTAGCCATGAAAGCTGGAGTGACAATAAAGATGGAGGGAAGAATAAAGTTTGTCTTTAAGGATGCTTCAGATCACGTGACTGGCCTTAAAACTGGAAGATAGTCTCGTTTGGTGGGGCCTCCTTCATCCAGTGCTTTTCCAGGAAGTCACTGGCTTGTATGGTAATATGAAGTTAGAAATAGACAGCCAGGTGGCTGTGGCACACGCCTTTAATCCTAGCAGTAGGGAAGCAGAGGCAGGCAGATCCTTAAGTTCGAGGCTGTCCTGGTCTGCAGAGTGAGTTCCAGGATAGCCAAGGCTACACAGAGAAACCCTGTATTAAAAAAACAAAAACAAAATAAAGAAATAGACTTTGAAAGCAGTGCACTTTTATCTCTCGATCACTAGTAACTAACACACGTAAAGAAAGAAATCTGATTGATTTCTAAGCCAAGAAGAAATAGTAAAATCAGGGCACAATCACAATAGATTGTAACACACAGCCCCACCACTGTTCACTATACAGCAGAACTATGTTCTTTATTCATATCTCTGTACATGCAACCTAGCATGTGAGAATGCCACTGAACATTTTGATCTTGGCGAATGCCATTTAAAAAAAAAAGAAAGAAAGAAAGAAAGAAAGAAAAAAAAGAAAGAAAGAAAAAAGGAGGGAAAGAGAAGAGCCAAATAAACAGTCAGGAAAATGTTGCCCAATGAGATTGTATCCATGCCTTCTTTCATTTAACTAAAAATCTACAGTCTATGCGGGATAAGGAAGATATAAAAATCACCTCTAACTGAGAGCAATGGGTTGTCCCTTGAGATGTTTATCTATAGTTTTAATCAGAAAGTGGCTTCATATAACGACAGAACTATCTTAGTTTTCTAGATGGATGAAATCCCTAGCTATCCAAGGTCTGTCTTTATCATCCAAGGACATGGTCTTGGGTGGAATTCTTAGAATGATTTGCCACTGACCATGCCTGGCTATCTGTCTCCAGGAGGATGCTGAGGCACAGTGGGTGAACCCAGTTCTGAGCCTATGAGGGAGGGAGACAAGAGAGACGGTGGTAGGAGCTGTCAGTGGGTAGCATCTTGACACGCATCACTTCCAGTCAGAAGAGAAGAACCACAGTGGCAGCACCAAGCATGGCTGTTGTGGGATTCCCCTCTGTATGCTGTGAATACGTTTTATTACCACTGGTTAATAAAGAAGCTGCTTTGGCCGATGGCAGAACAGAATAAGGTTAGACGGGAAATTGAAATAGCGATATAGAGAAAAAGAAGGTGGAGTCAGGAAATTCCAATGTATCTGCCAAAGGAGAAGGACGCCAGAACTACACCAGTAGGGCACAGCCTCGTGATAATATACAGATTAATAGACATGGGCTAATTTAAGATATAAGAGCTACCCAGAAAATGCCTAAGCTACTGGGCCAAACAGTGTTGTAATTAATATAGTTTCTGTGTGATTATTCGGGTCTGAAAGGCTGGGAGATGAACATGCAGTTTCTGCTTACACACGGCGTTCATTCTGTGGGGCTTGCTTTGTCACCTCACACTTGCACACAGAGGCCACACAGTCTGTGATCTAAGGCAGAGGGGCTCCTCACCAGAGCATACACCACACAGAGGAAAGGACCTCAGCCGTCTTTCTCATATCATCACAGACTAGAACATTGGAGGAACTCAGTACTTGATGAATGAGTTCATCCATCCATCCATTTCTCCACAGATCCATCAGGAAAGTCATCATTGCTTCCTGTCACCGCAACTTCAACTAAATTTGCATACACGGCCATTAACCTGGCTGTCCATTTGTTCAATCAGTCTGTCAGTCATTTAAAAAAATATTCATTACACATGTAATAAGCACCTGGGCATATGTTAGGCAGCGGAAGCTCATTGGTGAACAAGGCTGATGTGGTCACTCCTCTGGCTGGCTTAGACAAGCCAGGGAAAAAGACACTAAGTGAACCAATCGAATCAGGATGGGTAAGCATTTTAATAAGGGACATATAGGATTGGGTGGCGATGAGGAACTGAACCAGATAAGAATATGCAAGCAGATTGAACTAGAAATGTTGATTGTATGTCAATAAGTATTTCCAAAACATATCAGGCCAAACACACATTGGCAAGAGCATATCACCAGTAAATAAAGAGGACCAGGCCACCACTACTGCCAGATGCCGCTACAGACACGACAACAATAAGTGAAAGCCCTGGCTCCCTAGGTCGCTTTGGTTTGCTAAAAGGTTCCAAATTTATGCCCTGGCACAATGATCAGCATACACCCTACTGCCCTAGCTTGACCTTCTACTCGCTGCGCTCAGCTTATCTTTGAAAGCAGGCTGGTGTCCCCGCGTGAACATAACAGCACACTAAGCTTTTCAATGCTAGTACTAACTTTTTAGCTTATTTTTGTTACTTTGTGATATTTATATTCTATAGTATTTGTGTCTAGAAATGTCCAAATGTGTGTTGCAATTTTAAGTATCTACATAAATGGGCCTTTTAAAGATGCCATTTGCATTGTTTAACACATACAGCTTCAGGAGGGGACTTTTTCTGTAACAGCATTAGAAACTAATTTTTCTTACTGGCCTATACAGCTTTGTAGTTACATCTTCAACTCACTGGCAGATACCACTAATCCCAAAGCAGTTCCTTTGCCACATGTAAAGACCAAAGAGGAAACAGGTCAGACAGTTCCATTCTAAATGTGACTTCTATAAACTTCTAAAACACCTGTAAGTCTGGTGGCCTGGTTTTCTCAGATGTGTGTATGTATATATCTAAGATATATACATCAAAGAGGAAACAGTTCAGACAGTTCAATTCTAAATGTGACTTCCAGAAACATCTAAAACACCTCTAAGTCTTGTGGGCTGGTTTTCTCAGATGTGTATGTATATATCTAAGATACATACATACCAGTCTGACAGGCTGGTTTTCTCAGATGTGTATATGTATGTATGTATGTGTACACACACACACACACACACACACACACACACACACACACACACTAGTGTTGTCTGGAGAGGAGACACAGAGCTCCAGAGCATGGGACCCAAAGCCAGCTGGGGGAAGGCTGTCCCTGGAAGACAGCCCAGCAGGTAACAGCAACAGCACCCTGTCAAAGTGCATGTGCTGTCTAGCAAGTCCCTTCCAAACTGCTAACAGTCCATCCTGGAAGGAAGCTCAGAAGACTCATGGAGTGCTGAAGGGATGTGCCTCAAGACTCAGGAAGTAAATCCCAGGAAGTTCCAGACATGAGATTCATAAACAGTTGTTGGAATATTACTTTCGGGTGTGTGACTTTTGTTTACGCTGCATGTGTTTAACTCTGTGAAGCTGTGTTACTGTGCCTGTCTAAAACACCTCAGAGTCCTAATAAAGAGATAAACAGTCAATAGCGAGGCAGGAGCAAGGATAGGCGGGGCTGGCGGGCAGAGAGGATAAATAGGAGAAATGAGGAGCGCAAGGAGCAAAGGCGAGAACAAGGAGGGGGGGGGCACCAGGGGCCAGCCACCCAGCTACACAGCAAGCCACGGAGAGAGAAGCAAAGAAAGGTGTACAGAAATAGAGAAAAATAAAAGCCCAGAGGCAAAAAGTAGTCGGGTTAACTTAGGTTAAGGAAAATTGGCAAGAAACAAGTCAAGCTAAGCTCGGGCATTCATAACTAAGAATAAGGCTCTGTGTGTGATTTATTTGGGGGCTCAAAAAACCAAAAGAGTGAAACATCCTACTACAAGCTGTGCTTCCATCCTCCACCCCACTGCCATACCCACCCCTGCTCCCTGACACCTCCATTTCTCTGAGGTTATATATATTCAGGAAGGTCTGCTGAGGGCTTGCTGAGGCGCCTGGAAGTGGTGTAGTGAGCGGAGGGTCCCGCCTATGTGGAGATGGACGCAGAGATGGTGATGGAGTCGCCTTTGGGTCTCCACACTACTGTAAGTGACCCCAGTAAACTCATTGGTTCAATAAATAGGTCTCCAGGAGACTCACTACTTTGGTCACACAACAGCAAGATAGTAGAGGGACACTTCCTTCCAACACCATTGCACTCAGTTAAAGCAATCAGTATTTTCAGGTCTTGGAGAACGAATTTAAACATTAGAAGGGTTACATATAGAACCCTGTGTAGATTACAGTACGATTAATGGCAAAGAGGCTAAAAGACCTTGCGTGGGGAAGGTGTATAAAGGACCAAGTGTGCCCTGCTTGTCTACGTGTTTGGTCACTGAGATCTATTTACTACTGGTCTCACCAAAGACAAAATCTTGTTGTTTCTTTTCACTAATTTGTAAGTTCTGCAACTGGAATATATGCTAATAATCATCTCTACTATATCATTTAGGATGGTGGGAGAAACAAGACTCCACATCATGCAAGACCAAGTAATTGTACCAATCTAATCGTAGCAATATGGCGGTTGGGACATCCGCGGACTTGTCATACACCTGACATCCACTTCACTTACTTATCACTTCTAGCTTTTAAGTATAACTTAAATAAATTGTGCTTCCATCTAAGAATTTGCTTAAAGCAGACAGAATTACCAACATCTGAGAACCTTGTAAAGAAACTATTGCTGCCCTCAACAAGGCAGGGGAATCTCCCAGACTTACACGCAACGGAAAACTTACCCGTATCTGAAGTAAGTATTAAACTGTCTGCAGAGGCGGTGGGCGAGTTCTCGTTTCCCACACGCTGCAGGACCAGTTAGGATCAGCATGGGGTAAGGGGCATCCAGACTTGGCAGAGTGCTGCAACAAGAACCCGCAGAGACATTAGCTCCCTGCACAGGCGGGGTTTCTAACTCACAGTCAGAACTGACAAGCGCTCACTGAATACAGACAAGCAGAAGGATGGTCCCACTCTCTGGAACAAGATTGTAATATATCAAAAATAATACTAGGGCTGGAGAGACAGACCAGAAGTTAAGAGAACTTAAGTGCCCTTCCAAGAAGACCCAGGTTGGGTTTCCAGCACCCACATGTAGCAGCTCATAACTCCAGTTCTAGGGGAATCTGATATCCTCCTTTCGCCTTCACAGGCACCTCCCCCCAACACACACACACTATGCACATATATACACTCAGGCACACACACATATACAACATAAAATAAAATATAACTTTCATTCAAAGGATAGATAAGGTAAAATACAAATTTCCCTCAATTTCCTTTACCAAGCTTTTCTAAAGGAGAAATATGGTAGGACACATTAGTTCCTGGTTGCTAAGTATTCCTTCCTCCCGGAATTTACCATTGAGCACAGTGAGGGAATTCTGAGGTCAGTGTTTAGCATCCCTATCCCCCGCCTTAGAACACAGGCATGCAAAGCAGGCTTCAGCATAACAGTGAAGTCACACCAGAGTGCTCACCGCCTGCCAGGCAGCGCGCTAGACTCCTACACACCCTCAGGTAAATAGCGCAGCGCTAAGGAGGCTGTTTCTATTAATCCTCACTTAACACAAACTGGAGTAAGGGAAGGCAGACTGACATGCTCAAAGGGCTGGCATGTGACTCTAGGCTGGAAGACCGGAATAAAGAATGAAAGTATTGCCTGCCAGAGTGGCACAGTCCCTTCATCCCAGCACTCGGGAGACGGAGGCAGGAAGGGCTCTTTGAGCTGAAGGCCAGCTTGTTCTACAGGGTGTGTTTCAGGACAGCGAGAGTTACGTAGAGAGACCCCGACCTTAAACAGGAACGAATTTATCAACATGGTGTCCTACATCACACACTGCCAATGGTGCACACTCTTTGTGAGATAAACCGTAGAAACAGAATGAAATGTTTGATTGCATAGCTGAGCTGTGGGTTCAGGGAAGAGTCTATGACGTCCAGGAAACCGCATGGGTTTCTAATCTCCGTGGATAACCATAAAAATGGGGGAAGCTTAAACGCAAGCGCCCACGGAGAACACGTGCCACAGAAGGAGGTACGAGTCTCCAGCAATGTGCCGGCTGCCTGGGACTGGAGCTGGCACTGGAAAAGGAAGCAGTGGACGCCATCCGACAGATCGAAGGACAGAAGCCCTCCGAACATCTCTAGGCGCCCACTGGAAACAGATGGGTTGAAAGTGTCACACGCAAAACCTACTCACGGGTGCTCACAGCAACTTTATTAGCGGCACCCCAAACTGGAATCAGCGTAAACACCTTTAATGTGTGAATGGCTGATGCTGATACATCTATGCCCTGGAATACTACTTAACAATAAATAAAAGGATTCACCCCCGTGGATGAATCTCCAGGAAGGTGCCCTGCATGGGGTGGGAGGACGAGAGCGTTGGGAAGTTACACTGTGTGATCGCTGTACATCATACTCTTGATCTTGTACATCATACATCATAAATCCTGACCATCTTACGATATGGGAGCAGATCATGGCTTCTGCGGTGAGAGAAGATGTGGAGGGAGAGAGGGATAGATAGAAGAGTCACACACACCTATCTAAAGGCACCACGGGGAGGCCTGGGATGAAACTGCTAAGTCCTGAATGTGGTGCTTGCCAGCTGACAGACTCCCGATAGAGCCGCACAAAAGCATACAGGACTGAGCACACAGGAGCCCCGGAGGGACGAGAGAAACCCGGTGACTCAGAAGGCTTCTGGGTAAGTCTTCTGGTTTTGGTACTTGACTCACTGTTGTCCAGGGCAACACTGTCGTGGGATGTGGGGGAAAGGTACAGAGTCCCTTGTATACTATTTCCTACAATGGCATGCACATAGTGACACCCTCAATTTTCAAGAAAAAAATATATGACAGATAGTGACAAATATTGAAAATAGCCAAAAAGGAAGTTTTCCTGACCGAGAAAATCAAAGCCATGGAGCCAGAAAAGTGTTAGACAATTCAAAAATTCTCCATAAGCAAAAAAAAATTATGAAGGCATATATTACGTCCAAAGTATGCCAGAACAAAACCAAGGCCTCTTGAAGAAATGCCTAGGGCCAGAATTGGGGGAAAGCATGCATAAGACGGTTCTGGGGAAGTCGAGCATACTAAAGGGCAGAGCTATCAGTGACTACCAGGCCACTCACAGTTTGTCTGCATCATTTCAATCAGGCATCCTCACCCCATTCAGGAAACACTGATTTTCCGGCAATGTCAGTATACCATTGACAGACCAGGTGCCTGCAGCCCCCTGGTGCCCTCCTCCAGCTGCAATGGCTGGTCTTCCCGGCAGCCACTGAGGCAGAACTGTGAGCCATGATCCACACCTCCTTGGCCTCTGCCCTTGTTTGTCTGGCAGCCAGATGTGACTAGGAAGTATGTTCCTCAAACACGACTACTGATGTCTTTGATACGTGCTCGTACATAAATACACCCTAAAGCATCGAGCAAGCAGCGGCAAATCAAGACAGAGACCTTCTCAAAGTCAAATGTACTTCTGATGTACACAATGGAAGGCTAAATCATCTCGCCTGGACGGCTCTCATGAACATGCAAAACTGCCAATGTCGACATGACGACATTGTTTGCAAAAACCGCGTCCTGGATCGGGAAATCAAACATTCTGCTCTCTTGCGGGAAGCCAACTGTGAGGTGCAGGAGCAAACACCGCAGGAAGAAAAGAAGCACTTATATCCAAGAGCTTTACAAGTATTTTTAAAACGCCTGTGGGTATTGATAGAATTTCTGTGTTATACTTGTGGCGTAAATGGCCATCTGCTCTGACAGACTGCTTCAAGAGAAATGGAGAAACCGTGGTAAATCTGTCTTCGGATGTGGAGGTGAGAGACTCCTGCGTGCAGCCAAGCATGGTGGCTCCTCCCTGCTGCGCTGGTGGCATCCCAGCAGAGACAATTCAGGTTTCTCCGGGGTGAGCTGGGCTTCCTTCTAGGTACTCCCCTCAAGATCAGAATCCAGGGAAAGCTCTCTGGCAGGAATATTTAGCATCTGCCCGCAGTTAAGGAAGGGTTTCCAAGGGACGGGGTGATGTTAACTGTGACCCTCAGCTTGTCTAGGACATTAATGAGGCACACTGTTGGGTGCATTTTGAGGGGTTTTCCAGAGAGGGTTAACTGAGGGGAATGGCATGTGTACAGCGTTGTATTGGCTACTTTTTGCTGTGATAAGCTATCATGACAAAAAGCAACTAAAAAGGGGGGGGGTTCACTTTGCGTTCACAGGTCTCGAGGAACAGTCCATCCCGGCAGGGGAGGGACAGCAGCAAGCAGCTAGAGAAGGTAGCTCAGGGATCACATCTTCAATGGGAAATACAAAGCAGAGAAGACAAGCTTGAAGCTGGGCAGAGCTGTACATCCTCAAAGTCCTCCCCCAATGACAGACTTCTTCCAGCAAGGCCGTACCTCCCGAGGTTCCATAATCTTTCCTAAACAGCACCGCAACTGAGGAGCAGGTGTTCAAATACATGAACATAGGGGACATTTCTCATTCAAACCAACACTGGTACCACCCAGGACTGAGAGCCTGCCTTCTCGTCCCCACTTCCCGATCTGCCCAGACATAAGAAAACCCCTCTGCCGCTGCTGCGAGTTCTTTATTCTGCATCACGATGATGGACCATATCCTCTCAGTCTACCCTCTACCCCTGATTCGCTTTGGCAGCTAAAATGCAAGGGTCCTGAAGATAGAATGGAGGGAGTCAGATCACCATCATGCCTGGGAAAGCCACCAAAGGGAAAACACAGCCAAGTGCACAGTTAGCAGCCACAGTGGGAGACATGGCCCCTTACCGCAGAGAAGGAAGAAAGAAACTACAAACTTTTTTTTTACTGTCTTATGTACACGTGTTTTGCCTGCACGGAGTCTGTCGTCCATGGGCTATGTGTGTGACTGATGTTCATGGATGCCAGGAGAGAGTCAGATCCCCTGGGACTGGAGTTACAGACAGTTGTGAGCTCACATGTAGGTCTGGGAATTGAACCAGGTCCCGTGGAAGAGCAGCCAGTGCTCTTAGCCTGTGAGCCTTCTCTCCAGCCCTGAGGAAGTCGCTTCTCTAGCGAAGGAGTGACTCACACGGGAAGGAGGGCTAGAGGAAACAGCAATCCTGTCTGTTTCTGGCACGCGTTCTACCTGTAGAGGGTCCTAATAAATACCTGTCAAAGATCCTCTGTGGTTGCGACATGCTGTTGACAACATGGATCATGTGATCTCGGACAGCGACCACTTCAGGGGGAGGGTCATATAGATTCACGGCAGAAACCTTTTCCAGAAGGAGGAAAGTAAAAAGGAGATGTGTTTGCTCCCAAAAGAACATGAGGGTTGGCCTGCGCTTAGAGAGATTGACCAGGTAAGTCACATGCTCCCTGGCCCTGCACTCATTCTTCCTATCACTCTAACTTCCCTAAAATTCCAATAATGGCTGTTACTGTAAAAAGCTGGGCCAGGTCCTTAAATCCTCATTTCCTTTATATTCTCCGGTTTGGGGCAAGCTAAAGACAAAACAATATCTCTGAAGCAGGTGATTAATTTTAATACAATAAACAATCCAACTTCTAGTACGAGAAGAAGGAATAAAATGCATTGTTCAAGATTCTATGTCGTCGACGCCATTGGACTGTTTTCTGGTATCTTCCTGCTCAGGACTGTTCCCACCCCCTCACATCTCCCAGACTTGCTCCACTTTCCTCTGGCTCTCTCGAGCCAAGGATACAGGCCCTTTCCTTGGTGTAAAGGTCTCTGTTTTTACTGGCCTCCTAAGTACGTGACCCTTTATTTAACGGTGATTTTCATTTTAATTCTACTTGTAAAATGTCAAAAGAGGCCTGAGCCTGGCAGCTGGGAGTGTGGAAATAAGGATGGGGAGGCATCTGGAACTCTTAGTCTGGGCTGCAGAAAGGCATCTTTGGGATGGAATAGGTGCCCACCTCTATACCTTTCTTCATTCCCTTCTCAAATTGGATCTGGTATAAGCAGCGGCCATGGGAGGAGGGAGCTGGTGCTGGCTAGCACTCAAGAGCTCATTCCTCCGCAACTCTGGACCAGACAGATCACCGTAGAGAGCAGAAGAAGAAGAGACACTACAATAGCCGATAGTGATTTGCACGCCTTTCGATTACATCAAAAGACACGATACATTTCGTTGTTAATTTTCAAAATAACAGACAATTTCAGAGTCTGCCATTAGATAGGAAAGTGGCGTATACTGCTGTCAGCAACAACCGGGAGTGGGCAGCAGGAGGGGGCGCCTGTGCACCTTCCGCACTGACAGATTGCCCACCGCACCCATGGACCGCCTGTCAGTGCATGTGCTGAGACCCAGCTCAACAGGGGGTTCAACTGACAAACCCGGGACAAGGAGATCCGTCCTGGAAAGGATTAATCTGCATACTGCTATGCGTCTTGCTGATTGGTTGCACTAACCCTGCTACAATCAGCACGCGAGTTTTGAACATACTAACCGGAAAACACACGGAGCACATGTATGATTACATACGTACCTTCTCTTCCACTTTAATCTTCTGCTGATCTAACTCTGTCAGCCGTAGCAGTATAAATATTACGAAGAACCAGTATTCGGATTTGCTCTATTTAAAGCAAGAGGAGACTATTCAATGGCTTTTTCCCTTCCCCAGGTCAGCGAACACCAACCTATTCTCAGGGGCCTTTCTGTTCTAGTTGGGCCTTTTCGAGACCCGTTGCCATGACTCTGTCTTCCACGCTCCCTCCACCCCCACAGGGCTCTGCATTTTCACGTTCACCAGCCCCTTAAATTAACAACAAAGATGCAAAATGTGTCCTATAATTGATAAATCGCTTCACATGTTCGGATCTCACTAATTTCCCTGTGAGATAAGCAGGGTAGCAGGATTATCCTCAGGGGTAGAGGTGAAGCCTTGACGAGGTGGGGCACCCCATCTAAGATGCCAAGCTTCTCTCTTCTAATGCCAAAGAGTTTCATTACTGAAAATAATGACATTTGGCTATTTCTTATTATTTCATCATGTCTTTATTATTTAGTGTGTTCTTTTGTATTAGCTGGGATCATTCATTATGAACTTACCTTGCAATAATAAAATGAGACTTGGCTTATGAACAAATTCCTCTTTACTCCCTGCCAACTGTTAGGATTGCCTGACTTTAAAAGTGGTAACTGAGGGTGTTTTGTTTCGTTTTTGTTTCTGGTATAGGATGCTTCGTCTCTGTGAATAGCGAGATACAGGTGGAAGATGCCTTTCACTGATGGGAATGCAAGAGTAGTAAATACATAACAGGATCACTCCTTAGGGTCCCCACACAGAGACACAGGAGACAGACTGCTAGTTACCCTGACGAGTCACTCCGTGTTGTATGTATGAGGGAGCTGCCAGGCCCCGACCCCTGGATGATTATCATGCACCAACTGATGCATTTGTAAAGCTTCTCTTGCACGCTTCACAATGCAAGGGCTGTGACTGTTTGTTTATAGGTGAATTCACTGGCGGGAGGGGTTCCTGTAGGCACAGACCACTCTCTGAGGGCCCGAGCCTGGGGCTTTGGGGCCACTCAGTCTTGCTCCTCACGGCTTCCCCTGGGAGGCTTTTACCTTGCCGGCCACTGTCCCCCCCCCCCCCCCCCATATGCTTTTATTTTTCAATATCTCTTTTTTATTTCTTTTTTTTTAAATTTATTTATTTATTAAGGATTTCTGCCTCGTCCCCACAACTGCTTCCCATTTCCCTCCCCCTCCCCCGATCAAGTCCCCCTCCCTCATCTGCTCGAAGAGCAATCAGGGTTCCCTGACCTGTGGGAAGCCCAAGGACTGCCCACCTCTATCCAGGTCTCGTAAGGTGAGCATCCAAACTGCCTAGGCTCCCACAAAGCCAGTTTTTATTTGTCTAGACATACTCGTCAAGATGTAAACAAGGCAAACACAAGAGGAGCTGACTTAGCTGGGACTCTGTGGAGGCAAGAGGGGAGACCATGGATACAAACACCAAACAAAGATAGACAACGAGTGAAGGAAGGGGGCAGGAGAAGGGCATGAGCAATGGAGGAAAAGAGGAGCCTGGAAAACTGTCCCTGACCCTTAGAGCGCAAAGGTTGCAAACCCTTAGGGACTATGTTATTTTAGTCTATAGTTATTTTATATCCATGCCAATTCCATGGCTCTCTTCAGGCAAATTACTTTGGGCGTCCATGCTAACACTGCCTTTGCTGTTACAAAACAGAAACCACATTCTGTCCGGACCCCTGGGCTCTTGATTCTCCAATATGAAAGGTCAAGAACATTGCTTTACAATCTTATTATTCATCCTCTGCTGTAACGTTTAGCTCCACCCACCACATGACTTAAAGGGCCAGGTAAGAGACTTTCAACTGCAGGCTTTACAGGAACTGGGGCAGTTGACAGATTGTTAGCCCTGAAAGACAACCACACTTCTCTAAAACAAGCCGTTTACAATGCTAGTTCATGTAGCTGTTGTAATGATTTCCAAAGGTGGGGGCTGCACTCACATCCCTGATGCTCCCTATCAACAGCATGGGCTGAAAGGGAACTCTAAGACTGGTCCTTGCTCCCTTCCCTTCCCCCTCCCCGAGGGAAATAAACTCTCACCTGAACTGGATTCTTTAGCAGATTGAGAACTCGAAGGATAGGAAGATTTTCAATATATTCTATTTCACTCAGCTCCTCAATCTATTTGATCAAAATAAATAAATCCATTATCAACAGCCAGCGAAGACAATAGGGAACACAATATAACAGGAGCCAATATAATTGGTTCCTTTAAATCTAATTTAGTTCAAATGTGTCCGGTTGAATACGCAGCTTGCCAAGGAGAATGCTCTAAAGTCATTGGAGGAGGCGGGAATTGCTGCATGACCTCGGGAGATGAGAGCACACGGGGCCCCATCTTCTCCCTTTCCTTCAGGCTGGAGAACAGTAATCTCCTCATGCATGCTGATTTTGAGTAGAACTAAAATAGCTCGTAAAGTAAAGTGAGAGAAACAGAACAGTCACCTTGTTCCAGCCCTCCAGGCTCAGACTTTCTGCCCAACCCAGTTTCTTCCCACTGCTGCCTGTGACTGCCTAAGCCTTCCACTGTAGGAGACAGGCCAGCCTTCTACGCCTTTTCCGTAAGGATTGCGTCACAGCAGAAACTGTATAATTTGTTTGTTTATTTTGAGACAGGGTCTCTTCAACGTAACCCTCACTGGCCTTGAACTCACTGTGTAGACCAGCCTGGCCTCGAACTCACAGAGATCCTCCTGGCCCTGCCTCCTGAGCACTGGCATTAAAGGTATGTGCCACACCACCCACTCTACCCTGCCCCGCCCGCCGTCGGTTGTGTGACCAATTAGTGGTGAGTGTCCAAGGATGCGCCTGCTGACTAAGCATTTCTGTGCGCAGGCTCTAGTTTGCAATTTGCAAAACCAGAAGGGGCTCCCCAGGTCGAAACGTGGCTTGATTTAGCCAGGGGTTCAGCCTGGGTTGCAGCAGCCCTCCGCTCTCCACCACTGTAATGACAAATAGGCTTAAGATTTCTACAGTAAACGATTACAATCTTAGTCCAGGGGCAATAGTGGATTTTATAATAAATTAGTATTTCTGCATGTCTCATTGAAGCATTCTACCAAGAGGTTCACTGATAATTTCTAAGTCATCCAAACCCCAGTGACACCAAAATGCAAATTAGTCCAAAACTAAGTCGGGTGGTGAGTCACACTAACCACAGTCAAGGATGCCATTTCCAAAACTGTCATCAGAAAGGCAAACTCCAAAGTTGCAGCATACAGTGTGTGTCCCCCATGCACAAAAAAATAAGCTAGCTGGAGAAGTAGCAAGCTATTATATTAGCTTTTCCCCATATAAGATAATGAAATTGTCCTTCAGACTGACATGTGTACCATCTATAAGAAAAATAAAATTGTTTTTATATTGATTTTTTTTTCAGGAAGGTAGACAGTAAACTTGGCTTGTATTTTTCCATCAGAATTTCTGAGCAATGGGCTTGATTTCCGTCTGGCATACAGTTCTTGTTCTTGCATCCACCGTGTCTCACCCACAAGGCCTGGCCGTACCCAGTGAGAGAGGAAAGTGAGCCTTCTTCCTAACAGGCAATCTGACGAGTTACATTGTATCCAGCCATCCCACTCCCCGAGACTTTTACATTGTATCCTGCCATCCCACTCCCCGAGACTTACTGAAGAGATCGTCACACAGGCCAAAATTACATACAAGAATATTCAGTCTAATTCTGTTAGTAAAAGCGTTCCCCTTTTCCTAAGAATTTTATCCATCCTTATGTGACTGAATGAGTCACAACACTGTCCTATAGGTGGAATACTATGTACTCATTTTAGAAAATCGTATGTGTGGTAATTGACACAGAAGGATCTCGATGACTTTCAAATGCCATGGCTAGAATAACCATGTATCATATAAGTTTACCACCAAGATGTTGTGGGCCATCAACACGTCTTTGTGAATAACAGAGGAAGCAGCATCTTTCTCAGTCTTTCCAAGGTAGGGTGAGACCAGCAAGGGGCAGGCTTCCTGTCAAGCTGGTAACATGCAGCAGTGCTGGCTGTTCTTTCTGTGTACCCTCTCCTCACGGCCTCATGAGGGCTCTCCACGGGCCCCCAGACCTAAGACTTCCACAGCACCCAGAATCACCAAAGTAAAACACTGAAAAAGTCATACTGTTTTCAAAACTTCAGCCCACTAATGGACTTGGACCCTGGTAGCCACCCTCTCACCCCGAGAAGCCCACTAAGTTGTTTTTCTTTATTTATTTCTGTTTTTGCCATTTATTTCTTGCCAATGTTTTCTAAGCATCACTAACTAGCCTTTTAAAAAGTGATAATACACAGTGTGTGTGTGTGTGTGTGTGTGTGTGTGAGAGAGAGAGAGACAGACAGACAGACAGACAGACAGACAGGCCTGTATTCTGTCCTTGGGAAACTATTGATACAATGACTTAAAGTGTTTTCCACTGCTGCATACATAAGAATTTGTGCAGAAAAGCAGCTGGGGGATGGATAAACCGAGGATAATGATAGCAATAAATGCATTGCTGAAATAAAAATGAACAGGTGAAGCAATGAAGCATAAATTAAAACTAAACTCTAATTCTGCAAAAAAAAATTACTATGGAGATTTTTTAGCATAAAAATGTGAATTTAATCTCTATATCAGTTATAATACAAATTAAATTATGGATTAAGAGTTGAAGGTAGTTGAGTGTGTTGACACATGACTTTAACCCCAGCAAAGGCAGACAGAGCTCTAAGATCTCAAGGCCAGCTTGGTCTAGATAGTGAGCTTCAGGCCAGCTAGTGCTGGAGATATCGTGAGAACCTATCTCAAGAACAAGAGTGAAGGGGCTGGGAAGATGGCTCAGTGATTAAGAACGCTGGCTGCTCTTCCAGGGAACCAGGAATCAACTCCCAGCTGGCACGTGGCTGCTCATGGCTGCATCTCCAGTCCCAGGGGATCTGACTCCCTCTTCTGGTCCCAGCGACACTGCATGCATACGGTGCACATACGTATGTGGAGGCAAAACATCCATCCACATAAAAACAAACAGATAAATACACAAAACATCCATCCACATAAAAACAAACAGATAAATACACGAAAAGATGAGAGGGGGAAATGAAAGTCACCCAGTCTCATAACTGTTTAAAAAAGGTGAAGAAGAAAAAAAGTTGAAAATAGTAAAAACAACACAGGGGAAATAGTTTATGATAAGCATCTATCAGATCCAGAATGAAAAAGATTTTTCACAAACATAAAAACAATAAAGGAATATACTACAGGAAATGTAGCATAGTCCATACATTATTTTAAATATACAGCTAACGGACCTTACATACAATGAGAATCAAAGAACAACTATCATAAAGAAAACGGTGGCTAAGAGGATGGGCAGATAATTTTTAAAAAGGAAATAAAATTCAACAAAAATGTTTAACCTCATTTAGAATCAAAGAAATATATATAAAACAGTATACAAAACATGAGTTTTCACTTCCAGATTGGCAATTTTAAATGATTGTATTGACCGATGAAGAGCCAGAGATGTCTACAATACGTTATCCGAACTTTATAACTGCAGTGGGAGGCATAAGCATGAATGTGCTTTATGACACCTATGCCCAGTAATGGCATTTCCAAAAATCCATCATGAGGAAATGATAAAAAATGCATGTAACGATAGATTTATGTGTGAGAATATATACTTCAACATTATTTTAATAGCAAGTTAGTTGTAAACACAACAAATTTCAATAAGTAAATAATTCAATAAATCCTGACATATCCATTAATAGATTATCTTATGCTATTAAATCAGATTTTTGAAATATTGGGACTATTTGTTTTCTATATGGGAATTCAATTCCTATTGAACACTGCTCCCCACACATGTGCACACGCAAGTCCTAGTTAAAGACTAAACAATGAAAAACTAATCCAAAATTTGAAATAAAAAATCCATAAGAGAAGATAGCTCTCTTGCCTTGGCCCCTCACCCCTGAAAATGTATGCCTGTTCCAGGTTCATCTCCACCCGCTCCTTGGTCAGGAGCACCTCTCAGCGTCTGAGCCGTCCTCTGTCTGCAGTGGAGCTGAACCCACAGACACGGAGAGATGAGGCCCTCAGCAGCTTAGCAGTCCCTCGTCCTTTGACCTCACTCGTCCCTAGCCGCAGCTTCCAAACCAGTGTCATTTCCAGGGACATCGACACAGCCGCCAAGTTCATTGGGGCTGGGGCTGCTACTGTTGGGGTGGCTGGCTCTGGGGCTGGGATTGGAACTGTTTTTGGGAGCCTCATCATTGGTTATGCCAGGAACCCTTCTCTGAAGCAACAGCTCTTCTCCTACGCCATTCTGGGCTTTGCCCTCTCGGAGGCCATGGGGCTCTTTTGTCTAATGGTGGCCTTTCTCATCCTCTTCGCCATGTGACGCAGCTGTCTCCACTTCACCTCCCGTAGTTCTTTTGTGTCCCGTCTGCCCTGTATGTTCCTTTTCCTGTACCTCCCCAGGAAGTCTGGGGAAAGTGATTGGCTCAGGGTTTGACAGAGAGAAGACAAATAAATACTGTACTAATAAGAAAAAAAAAAAAAAATCCATAAGAATACTTTTAAAATTAAGGTAAGGAAATTTTATTAAAACGCAAAAATCAGAAAAGACAAGTGATTGGCGTTAAAAATAACTCTCATCCTCCCCTCCATTCCACAGACACACAGCAGCACACTCTTCCAGCCCTGGAGGGTTCATGACAAACCCAAAACCAGGAGGCTGAAAACGGCAGGAGCTAATTCTTACGGCTCTGAAGATGAGGGTGCAATCAAAGGCTGGCAAGCGGTGATTCCTCTGAAGGCGCCAAAAGAGAATCCTTCCTTGCCTCTTCCAGCTTCTCGTGAAGCCAGACAGCCTTGACTTAAAGCAACATAAACCTGGTCTCCATGTCTGTTCTCTCCCCTTCTGTCTCTCAGGCCTTCAGGTCATCCTAATACCAGCATGATCTCATGTTGAGATCATTAACTTCACCTGTAGAAACCCTTTTCTAAACAAGGGAGGCAGGGAAGGGTTAGTGGACCTTCTACCTCACAGGATTAGCTTCCGAGAAGCTGCGTCTAGGCCGCATTTACATTCTGAGAGAGATGGCGACATAGTGCAGTTCCCTACGCTG